AACAGCGGATTGGCGGTATTCCAGGAGGCCGATCCAATCGCCAATCAGCTGCTCAGCAGCAAAGGCTCCAGCATTCTCCCGCGGCGGCAGCAGCTCAGCTCAATTGACCGGTGGTGGAAGCAACGGAGCGGAGCCGTTGACGAGCCACGTGCTGGGGTTGCGATAATATGCTGAAGCTAACCAAGCTGTTTGCTGCAAGGACGCTAGCCAGACGAATACTGGATGGATGCTGGGAGGCAGAGGCAGATTTTTTTCCTTATTTTCTTCCTCTAAAGCTAATGTGCATCTTATGGTCTGGTGCATCGTATAATATGAAAAATACAGAATTTAGTCCTTCTGATCTGGAAGTATCTTCTTGCCCCTTGAATCATATAATTAACAAAAGGTGCAGATGCTCTTTGAATCAAAGGAGTAGAGCTCAGGTTTTTTTTTCTCCTGAACAAGAGCATTCTTTAGCCTAATCACATCATCACTGGGGAAGCCAATGGTCACAGAAAAAATATGCTACATCTTTTATAGTGAGTGATAGCTAAGGGCTGTATTCTGGCCTAGATGTGAACTATCTGGTTGCTATAGGCTAATTGTGGAATATATTTTTCTCTTCTCAAATTGCAAATTCGCTCTCCTTTTCTGAACCTACAGTTTATTGCCTGGTAATAACAGTAAAGATGGCAACTTTTCAAACTTCTTTGCCCCTCCTGTGACCTGAGTACCTTCCCTTTGATGCATACCCCCAGCCAGGTCACAATCTTGAGCAGATGACAAACTCCCCAGTGGACTATGGCAGTAGGTTTAAGCATCACGTTACATAATCCCTACAAATTACAGGTTTTCTTAATGTCAAGATTTAATTGAGCATAGAGTATACAAGCATTGCCAAAAATAAATACGCACATGGTCCAGTGGGCTGAGGCGTGCACAAGAGACAGGCCTTGACTCAACTGACTCAAAGCTTGAAGAGTGGAGACTAGAATGAAAAACAAATCATAATAATCAATGTGTAAGCAGCTGTTTGTGTGCTTTTCACCACAAGATTTCCTTCTGTGTGTCACTAATGCAGTGAAAATATTTTTACTGCCAAGTTGCTTAATTTACCTCAAACTCCTTTCTTGGAATAACATGTAAAGGATAAAAATGCTTTGTTATAAAGAAAAACAAAAATGTTCGTTTTATCTCATAGATTCCTAGCTGGTAAATTCAGTGGAAGAATTAACACTGTTATTGTTTTGGTCCCTTCTATGTGGGGTGATGAATAATTACAGTGGTTAGCCATTCAGTGACAAAGCTTCTCCTATATAAGCAATTGTTTCTGGAATCACAAAACCAATAGAAAAAAGAAGAGTTTTAGCCAGTATATTGCAACAGCTTTGCTTCCTACATACAAACCTAGTAATGGTTTTGGATTGGAATTTTCATTTTAGAAGTGAGTAAATATTTCTAGAGGATCTATGTTGTAATAAGATATGGACAACTGAATAGCTGTTGTTTTTTAAATTGAGAATTATGAGAAATATTGTCATGCCCCCATCGGAGCCTGAATCTGCAGGGGAAGATGAGCTGGAACAGGAGCCGACAGAGGGGGCAGCTCTGTTGGCTTTGGAGAAAACTGGGGAAGGACAGAGCCAGTCCAGGGAAGGTTTTTATGATTAGAAAGCCTTGTAGACAGGGGGGAGGAGACACAGAGCTCAGGTAATGAGCAAGGATCACCCCCTCCTGATCCTAGAGCATGAAGAGAAGAAAGCAGGCTAGAACAACGCAGACTGAGCTGGCTATGAGGGAGGAGAGTGCCCTGCCCCCACTTCACAAGGCACACCTGGGGACTAAGATGTAAGGAGATGCCAGTGGGAGGGGCATTTATTGGGAATCTGTGGAACCTCATGTGCACTTGCTGACGCCTGAAGATTACTGTGCTCTGTCTTGCTTGCCCAGTTTGCCTGCTTCACTGAACTTCTTGCTCTGGTTACTGTTTTGCTACTGGACTTCTGACCTTAGTTACAGCTTTGCTCACCTTGCTTATTGGACTACTCATAGCCAGAGGCGTGTGACAGCATTGCTCCAGGCTTGTAGTAAACAT